TCTCATCTGTTACCCAGGTTAGAGTGCAATGCATGATGAGAGCTCATTGTCAGCCTTCACTCTGGGTAATCCATCTCTAACTCAGGCCTCCAAATAGGCTGGCCTACAGGCAATGTACCCTCCATCCGCTATTTTTAATCTTTTTGTCGAGGTTGTGATGTCTTATTGTTTTTTGTTTTTTTTGAGACAGAGCTTATCTGTCACAGGCAGGAGTGGCAGTGGCATAATCTCAGCTCATGCACTCCACTGCAGTTCGCAATTCTTCCTTGCTCGCTCCGACTAGCTGGATTATAAGCATGTTGCCACCACACTCTTTGCTAATTTTTATTTTAGTAGAGACGGTTATCACCATGTGGACCAGGGCTGGTTCGAACTCCTGACCCAGGTGATCCACCCCTTGGGCCTCAAATTGTGGTATTACAAGGCATGGTTCACTTGTGGCTTGGCCATAGTTGTGGGTTGGACTATGTTCCTCAGGGCTTGGTCTCAAATCCTGGTTCTTCAAGCGACCCTCCTAGGCTTCCAGGAGTTCTGGATTCGGTGAACCATTCTATACCCATCAGTTTTTTTATTATTCTATTGCAAGTTACTAGCAGTCTTAAATAAAAAGCATTATTGGAGGGGCTGGTGGTAGGTGACTTAAAAAGTTAATCCTAGCACTTTGGAAGCCAAGGTTGGGCGATCACTGAGGTTCAGGAGTTTGAAGACAAGCCTGGCCGACATGGTGAGACCCCTCTTACTAAAAGTATGAAAGTTAGGGCTGGGTTGTTGGATGTGCTGTAATCCCACGCTACTTAGGAAGTGAAGGCAGGAAGAATCCTTGAACGGGAGGCAGAGGTTGCGGTGGCCAAGATTAGGCCACTGCACTACAGGGGCTTGGGGTGAAAGCAGAATCATCTAAAAAAAAAAAAAGGGGCATTTTGAGATTTAATAAATTGATGTCTAGAACATCTACTATCTGGGAAACAAGAAAGTTTGCTAAAATAATATGCCTGACTTAATGTTAGCTGATAGCAGCCAATATTCACAGAACATGTATGCAGCACCAGGCATGGTGCTTAGTGCCTCACATGCCTTCTCATTCAGCCTCACAACATCTCTGAGAACTAGACATCATACCTTCAAAGGAAGGTATGAGGTAAAGGAATCTGCCTGGTGTGACACCACTAGGATTTGGGAGAAATGGACATGAATGCATCCAAGCCTAACTCCAAAGCCCTTGTTCTTTATACGTTAAACAATTCCCCACTTTATTCACTGTATTTATTATGTAAATTCTGCTGTACAAATATTGCTGATTACAATAGGGAAAATGCCTATACATTAATTTTTGTTGTGACCTTGTATTGTACCGAGACAGTCTTATTTTTTCTTTTGGCCCAATGAATAAAAATTAAATAAGTCAGCTAGCACTTAGTGTTATAAGAAAATAAGATTTATTAGTTTGCATTCTGACAATGCAAGCCAAAATCTGTAAAATGTTAAAAAGCACATTCAAGGGTTCCCAAAAGAGACATATACTTTTATTCTTCAAAATTGTTCCATATGTGTCTTTACATGAAAAAAAGCCTGCTATAATTTTGCAATATCAATAATCTGGTCATAAATCCCCTCATAATTTTCAAAAATAGTATTTTTCAAATAAATAGTCAAATCTTACTTTAAACACTCAACAGTAAATCTCTAATAAAAACTCTCAATTAATTGGCTACATCACCAAGGAACACAAGACTCTCCATCACTAAATAAATTACGCCTAATACTTCAATTTGGCCTCCATATTAAATAATAATCTTAAACAAAGAGACCCACAGGACATTGAAAAGAGAAAAAAAAAAAACCTTCATGAAACTTCTTGTTTAAACATGTTAATGCTGCACTCAGAGATACGATCATCTTTTTTAACTGTGAAAAGTAAAATGGGCCAGGCACAGTGGCTCACGCCTGTAATCCGAGCACTTTGAGAGTCCGAGGCAGGTGGATCACCTGAGGGCAGGAGTTCAAGACCAGCCTGGCCAACATGATGAAACCCCATCTCTACTAAAAATACAAAAAAAAAAATAACAGAGAGTGATGCTGAGCACCTGTAGTCTCAGCTACTTGGGAGGCTGAGGCAGGAGAATCACTTGAATCCAGGAGGTGGAGGTTGCAGTGAGCCAACATCTGGCCACTGCACTATATAGCCTGGGCAACTAGAGCGAAACTCCATCTCAAAAAAAAAAAAAAGAAAAAAGAAAAGTAAAACGACACCTTCTTAATGTCTTTACACTTCTTACACTCAATGGCATTATTCAAAATTAGGTATTTTTTCAAATTTGCAACTCACTGTTTCAGGCAGAGTTGTATCAGTTAGGCTGCTAGAAGTACTGCTTTTTGTGTGGATTGGTTCCCTGGCCACAATCAGTTGCAAAGATCCAGTGGTTTGTTGTAATAATGCAATTGCTTGCTGATGGGAAATGTTCTGATCCAATGGTGTGTGATTAACGGCCAATATTTGATCATTTTCCTTTAATCTTTGATCCCTTAATCAAGTAAGAAAAGAAATTTTTGTTTTAAGTGACCTAATAACCTGATTTTAAAAATTCTATTATTCAAGTTAAGCAGTTTGTTGCCTATGGTACTACTTCACTTAGTACATTTATCAAATAATTAGTTAATTATATAACAGAGCTCCTCAGAGTGTTTTTCACAGAAGTTATTAACTAATTACCTAATTTGGTAGTGCATCCTTAAACACATGGACACATTTTAAAAGCCATCTACCTAGAAAAATAAACAAAAACAATCTATAGGACCCCATCGCCAAGGTTTTGCAAGTATGGACACTGCCTCCATTACTGCATAAACCCAAACCTCCTGAACCCCTTCCAATCTGATCTCTACCCATACCACACTGGGGTAACGATATTTTCAACTACACCAATAACCTCCTCTCACCCTATCTTCACTGTCTACTTGTTCAACATTTATCAACAGAGGCCAAACCCTCCTTGAAAATTCATAGAGATTACTTCCAAATTTATATCTGAGCATGGTCTCTTATTTGCCCAGGCTGGAGTGCAGTGGCACAATCACAGCTCACTGCAGCCTCAGCCTCCCAGGCTCGGGTGATTCTCCCACCTCAGTCTCACAAGTAGCTGAGACTACAGGTGTATACTACCACACCCAGCTAATTTTTGTATTTTTTGTAGAGATGGGGTTTTGCCATGTTGCCCAGGCTTCTCTTGAACTCCCAAAGTGCTGGGATTACAGCCATGAGCCACTGAGCTCGGCCAATCTGAGCCCTTATAATCTCTCCCAAGCACCAATCTCCCAACTGCTAACCAGGGTAAGAAGATTCTTTTTAAAAGAAATTAGCAAAATCTCTAAAGAAAAATAGTATTTACTGAGCACTTATCATGAGTCAGGTACTATGTTGAGTGCTTTACATGCATTATCTCACATAATCCTCATAATTTCCTTTTAAAGTACTTAGTAAATTTTACATATTAAGGAATTGAAGTCTAGACAAGCCTAGCATCCTATCAAGAGTCAGATTCTGAAGCACAGTCTTGAACTTCTTATGCCAAAGTGCATCCTAAAGATAGCCTAGGACTTACTCTGTCCTGGTTTACTGTATTTGATTTTATTATCTCCCAAACACCACTGATACTCTTCCTCTTCCTGTTTACCCATTCTCACCACAATTCTTGAAAAAACACTGCATTAGATGTCAGAATAAAGATGCAAAGTCATGGAAACTTATTAAGTTTGAAATCTGAGTTGGGGACACTAGAATTAATCCCCCATGAATGGAGAATGTGAATTCAAAAATGTATTATCGACTAAGAATTTTATAATAATATACTGCCATTGTTGCTATTATTCTAACACATGCATTGGAATAGCATACTTATTAAATGAATAATAAACCAAAGACTGGAAATCAAACAGAGACAAAATAAAAGGCTTGCAAATACCCCTTAAAACATAAAAGCAAATACAACATGGAAGATAACATAGACTTGAGAGGCCTCTTAATTGACAATAAGCATAATAAATCAGGTAGAGTGACATGACCATCAAAATGTTATTATAATCTTAAGAATAATAAACAATATAATATGCAGAATGAGAACTTCAATATTCCTATCCTACTGATCAGTCCGTAGCTAAAATATCATGTTCAACTGTAAGAGAGGGAAATAGTGTACTAGCTTTGCAGTCAGACGGTCTTGGAATCACATCATGGCTTCAGCATTAACAGCTCTGTGACTATAGGTTGACCACTGAATCTCTGAATCTCAGCTTTCTCATCAATAGAACGGAATGATGATACCTATATAGTGGAACTGCTGCCATGGGGTACAGGAGGATATTCACGAAAGGCCTGACAAATGCACAGCAAAAACTAAAGCAAGTGTTAGCTGCTATTGTTACTGTTTTTATGACTAGTTTTTCACTCTCTTTATAATAGTCGTCAGAATTATCAGGAAACAATTAGCAAAGTGAAAATAAACAGCTTCCCCACCTGTCTGCTACACTCCCTGGCTGGACATCCTTCACGAAGATATCAACATTTCCCATATTTTGACTTCTGAGGGCCACCACACTGAATCCAAGGCCTCCAGTTGAAGGCCGTTCTATATCTATATATTCAATTTGCCGGCCCTAATGAAGGAGCGTTAAAAAAAAAAAGTCAGTGGTGTACATTTAACCAACATACTCTGTCTGCAGAACTGAAATTGCTTAGCATAAAAGCAGCTTCCCCTAAGAACCACATAAACTCAGCATTTCAGTAAAAAATTATTTCTGGAAATCCTCTCACTTGATTATTTCAGTAGAGCATAAGAGAGAGTGTGTGCAGTGTTCTGCAACCTCAGGGAATCAGAGGTATTTTCACACTTCATTCACATTATGAGATGAATCCCAAGCTGGATGGAAACTCCTGAGAAAAATGCCTTTTCCCATAGTAAATTCTGAATTACTTTTTTACACTGAACTTCCCTAAATTCTCTTGATGCAAAGTACATTTTTATTTTATTTTTTTCTTTGAGACAGGGTCTCGCTCTGTCGCCTAGGCTGGAGTGCAGTGGCATGATCTCGGCTCACTTCAACCTCTGTCTTCTGGGCTCAAGCGATCCTCCTGCCTCAGCCTCCTGGGTAGCTGGGACTATAGGCATGCACCACCATGCCTGGCAAATTTTTGTATTTTTTGTAGAGACGGGGTTTCGCCACATTGCCCAGTCTGGTCTCAAACTCCTGAGCTCAAGCAATCCACCCGCCTCAGCCTCCCAAATTGCTGGGATTACAGATGTGAGCCACAGTGCCCAGTCGCAAAATATATTTTTAAATGAGGAAAATAAATTAGATATTTCAAAAATGCCAGTATTTAGCCTAAGTCAGAACCAGCTGCATTTTACAGGGCTCTGTTTTTAATTCTATTGTTGATTAATTGATATTCTATTTATTAGGTAAATTCAAAAGACTCTGAAAAGGCCACTATTTACATGGGTTCTACCTGTAAGAACAGATAGAACTGTTCTTGTGACAGCCAGGTATTTTATTGCTTTAGTTAATAACTGCACTTATACCATGAGAACTTCATAAATGTAATCAACTAAAAACAGCACCACATAAAAATAATTGTTAGTCAGATGAAAGGGATAGAAGTGGCCAGGCATGATGGCTCATGCCTGTAATTCCAGCACTTTGGGAAGCTGAGGCGGGAGGATCACGAGGTCAGGAGATCGAGACTATCCTGGCCAACAGGGTGAAACCCTGTCTTTACTGAAAATACAAAAATTAGCCAGGCATGGTGACATGGGCCTGTAGTCCCAGCTACTCGGGAGGCTGAGGCAGGAGAATTGCTTGAACCTGGGAGGCAGAGGTTGCAATGAGCCAAGATTGCGCCACTGCACTCCAGCCTGGGCGACAGCGCAAGACTCCATCTCAAAAAAAAAAAAAAAAGAAAAGGAAAAAAAGAAAAGGATAGAACTATAAAGTCAAAAACTAGGACCAGAATATTATTTAATTATCACACCTTAAACAGATTCTATTTAACACTGAAACTCAAGTTTATTTATTTATTTATTTTTTAAGAGATAGGTCTTGGCTCTGTCGCCCTGGCTGGAGTACAGTCGTGCGATCATAGCTCACTATAGCTTTGAATTTCTGGGCTCAAGTGATCCGCCCACGTCAGCCTTCCAGGTACCTGGAGGTACAGGTGAGTGCCACTATGTCTGACTATATTCTTATTTTTATTTTTGTAGAGATGTGGGTCTCTCTATGTTACCCAGGCTGGTCTTGAACTCCTGGCTTCAAGCAGTCCTCCTGCCTCTGCCTCCCAAAGATTACAGAAAAAAGCCACCATGCTCAAACCTCGTTTCATTTTTAATGGCACTTGAAGGTCGAGGTGAACATACATAAAACTAACATGTCCAAAATTTTAATTGTTTATTTAATTTTTAATAGGTATTAGGGGCTACAACTGGATTATCCTTCCAAATGTTTTCTAGATTTTCCAAATTATATTAGTTCTAATTTTCATTAATCATGGGTTTGTTTGTTTTTTTTGTGTGTGTGTTTTTTTGAGACAGAGTCTTGCTCTGTCACCCAGGCTGGAGTACGGTGGCACAATCTCAGCTCACTGCAACCTCCGTCTCCCGGGTTCAAGCAATTCTCCTGCCTCAGCCTCCTGAGTATCTGGGATTACAGTTGCCCACCACCACCCCCAGCTAATTTTTCTACTTTTGGTAGAGACAGCATTTTGCCATGTTGACCAGGCTGGTCTCAAACTCCTGACCTCCAGTGATCCGCCCGCCTCGGCCTCCCAAAGTGATGCGATTACAGGCGGGAGCCGGTACGTCCGGCCAAAAATCTTATTTTAACAAGAATAGAGATGCATTCAATTAGTCATTGTCGAAAAACTCTCCTTAGCAAGACTTTATCTCAAAAAATAAATGTTAATTTTTTTAAAAAAAACTCTCCTTACCACACACATGGATACCTTCCTTATGTAATTTTAAGCCAATAACTTTTCAACACACAGGTTAGAAAATGGTGTCAGTTCCTCCCAACAATATAAAAATACAAGCAAGCAAAATACATACTAACACATCTTATAGCAAAAAGACTGAGTATAAGTTCCTTTGTAAAACTAAAACAGGATAAATGAAGCTAAATATTTCCATGAGAAGATACAACTTTACCTGAGCCATCTGTTGAATGACTGAGTTAAAGTCTTCATTTCCCAACTTCGGGGTCCAAGGAAATAATCCAGATACAGTGGAGTTATTAGAGGGCCTGTGGACATTTCCATTAGTAATGGAACCATCTGTGAACACTAACAAACCTTTCCTAGAAAAATCAAAGTGGGCTGAACAATCTGAGGGTATATGGTTGAGCTGTTGGAGAGAAAAAAGAATCATCAACAGAAATCTATAGAAAAACTGTTTCTAGTTATTAAATATATTTTGACCATTACATGGATAATTTGCACATTAAATATATACATGGGAAAGAAATAAGGTAAAGATAGATCAATCTGTGTATTCACAAGGCTAGAAATTTTTTTAATTTAGTATTACACAAAATGTTTAATAGTTTAAAATTTGTTATTTCTTGCCTTCTACCACTACTTTGTACACTGACATCTTATTACACTTCACATATACAGATGCATCCAGTCATATAACAGTGTAAGGTACTAAACCTTTTTCCATTTATCTATACATTTCCATGTGGGGAACCACAAAAGATTCACAGGTAGTACAGACGATAATAATAACTGTACTTATTGAGTGCTTGCTATGAGTAAGTACTGTACCAGGACGATTACAGGTATTATCACTTAATTCTTACAACAGTCTGATGAGATATCATTATCCCATTTTGTGAGCATAAAAACTAAGGCACACAAGGGCTAAGTAACTTACTCAAGATGAGCAGTAAGTGACTCGTGGAGCCACTTAAACATTGGTAGAAAGAGGAGAATCATGTAATTATGGTGGACATAATTTAAAATATCACTGGTTGATACAACTGCCAAAACAGTAGAATAAAGGTAACATTAAGAATAAATGTCAGTGGTGAAACCCCATCTCTATCAAAAATACAAAAATTAAATGGGCATGGTGGTGCACACTTGTAATTCCAAGTTACTTGGGAGGCTGAAGCAGGAGAATCACTTGAACCCCACGGGTGGAGGCTACTGTGAGCTGAGATTGCACCACTGCACTCAGCCTGGATGATAGAGCGAGACTCTGTCTCCAAAAAAAAAAAAAAGAATAAATGTTAGGCCAGGTGTGATGGTTCACACCTGTAATCCCAGCACTTGGGGAGATCAAGGTGGGAGGACCACTTCAGGCCAGGAGTTCAAGACCTGGGCAACATAGTGAGACCCTCGTCTCAACAAAAAATACAAAAATTAGCTGGGCATGGTGTCACATGCCTGTAGTCCCAGCTGCTTGGGAGGATGAAGTGGGAGGATTGCTTGAGCCCAGGAGGTCGAGGCTACAATGATCCATGATCACACCACTGCACTCTAGCCCAGGCAAAAACTCTGTCTCAAAAAAAAAAAAAAAAAAAAAAAAGAATGTTAATAAAACCTCAGAGAATGCCGGGCACAGTGGCTCACACCTGTAATCCCAGCACTTTGGGAGGCTAAGGCGGGCAGATCACGAGGTCAGGAGATCAAGACCATCCTGGCTAACACGGTGAAACCCCGTCTCTACTAAAAATACAAAAACAAAATTAGCCAGGCGTGGTGGTGCGTGCCTGTAGTCCCAGCTACTCGGAGGCTGAGGCAGGAGAATGGCGTGAACCCAGGAGGCGGAGCTTGCAGTGAGCCGAGATGGTGCCACTGCACTCCAGCCTGGGAGACAAAGCAAGACTCCGTCTCAAAAAAAAAAAAAAAAAACCTCAGAGAAAAAATTTTAAAAATCCCTGGCTACAGGGATTACACAGTCCAATGCATAAAATATGACTATGCATATGACAACCGCAAACTATACAAATATAAAGAATTGCTATTAGGATAGGGTAGTTAGTTACATCCACTCTTAGTCCAACAAGTGTGACAGATTTCTGCTGATCTTTGCCAATTTCAGTTGCTACCAACAGCATTCACTATTGTGATATTCTATGACCAAGAGAAATACAGAAAGCTAAACATCAATATAGGCAGTGCTAAAATTAGGGTATAAATTCTGGTCTAAAGAAAGCAATTCGCAGAAAGACACACGTGTAGAGTTTAATCCTTAATTGGCTATAAACAAATCACTCACAAAAGACTTAATGGGCAAGCATTTTAGTTTATCAGCAAAAACCATTTTTTCCCAAATTTTGTAAATTTTCACTTAACTGTGATAAATTAGATCCAATTATGTTTTAAATTCTGCCCAAATGTCATCTACAGTATAGCTACTATTCAAGTTCAGCTTCCAGAACAGGTGATTTAAAAGTAAGTTGCCAACCCTGACCCCAAAACAAAGAATCCAAGAAGAGAGTTAAAACAATTTCTGGTTCGATCTCAGCACCAAACAAATAAACAAACAAAAAAATCCCACAACTACTAATTTGCACCCCTCTAAGAAGAGGTGATATATGTCCCTTACTCAATAATGATGTATTAGAGCCTGCAGAGTCCAGATAGTGTGGTAAATGAGTAGAGGAAACACAATTATATATTTAAATACCAGGTATCCTGCTTCCAAGGAACTTTTAATCAGAATATGCATGAAAGATAATAAATATTTGATAATTAAGAGAAGCGTGACTATTGTGCTATAAGGGCATGATCACTTCTTGTTAGATAAAAGACTTTGGCTGGGCGAGTTGGCTTAGGCCAGGCCAAGCGAGGTGGCTCACCCAGGTAATCCCAGCACTTTGGGAGGCTGAGGTGGGCGGATCACGAGGTCAGGAGATAGAGACCAACCTGGCTAACACGGTGAAATCCTGTCTCTACTTAAAAAAAAAAAAAAGACTTCCCAAAGAAAATATGCCTGGGCGAGGTGGCTCATGCCCATCCCAGCACTTTGGAAGGCTGAGGTAGGAGGACTGCTTGAGGCCAATAGTATGAGACCAGCCTGGGCAACATAGGGAGACCCTGTCTCTATAAAAATTTTTTAAAATTAGCCCAACTGTGGTGGCACACACCTATCCCAGCTACTCTGGAAGCTGAGGTGGGAGCATTGCTTGAGCGTGGGAGGTCAAGGCTGCAATGAGCTAGGATCACAGCACTGCATTCCAGCCTCAGTAACAGAGAGAAACCTTGTCTCAAAATAAAAAGAAAATATATTTAAGTTAAGCACTATTTTATAATTTTGAAGATGTTGAGAATTCTCAAAGCATCTGACCTTTACATATTTAAATAAGTACAAAAACCATATTCTAAAACCAAACACAATTTTTTTTTTTTTTTTTTTTGAGAGACAGGGTCTCAACTCTGTCAACCAGGCTGGAGTGAAGTGGCATGACCATGGCTCACTGCAACCTGGAACCCCTGGGCTCACACAATCCTCCCACCTCAGACTCCTGAGTTGCTGGGACTACCGATACACACCACCACGCCCAGCTGCGAAAGAAAAAATTGATTATCGACATTTCTAAATTGTCTATGCCAGTGCTACCCACAGGTTATAGGTTACACGTCCCAATACAGCCTCTTTGCTGAACTGAGTCCTTAAAGATAATTTGTCTTTGTCTATCTCCTCTATCTTTCTTTGATGGTTTGAACATATTAATATATATATTAACGTAAAACTGATGGGTAACTTACTTGTCCTTTCAGTTGCTTGATGGACTGCTGAAGTGTGAGTATCTGGTTGAAGAGAGGACTCTTTAGTGTCTCATAAAACACAGATAACTTCTCATTCTGTGATGTGTCACCCTTCTCCTGCAATTTCATTTTCAGGCGATCAAGCACCTGCAGGACCTGCAGTTTATCTTGGGTTAAGATGAATAAGTAGAGTAATAGTTAAGTCCCATCTGAGATTCCATTTTAAAATCATTAATTAATTAAATTATAGAACAATATATCCAGTATACCTGTAGCAGGATTTTCAGGCATTTTGAATTATTCCCTTCAATCACTCTTAAAGATACCTAAAGAAAAATTTAAAAATATAAAAGATGAATTTCAATTGTATATGGCTATAATCCTGTAGAAAAATTTAGGAAAACCTCAAGAACATTCTTTATCAAGACTCCACTCAGTGAAATTCTAATTATAACCACAATGAGGTGCCACTACACACCCATTAAGATAATTAAAATTTTAAAACAGACAATACTAAGCATCGAGGCTGTAAGTGCCTGGAACTATTGTACATTGCTAAGAGAAATGTAAAATGTCACAACCACTTTGGAAAATTGGTAGTTTCTCATAAAGTTAAAAATACACTTACTATATGACCCAGCACTTCCACTCACAAATACTTACGCAGTATTCATGAAAATATATGCTCACAAAAACGCCTGTACATGGAAGTTTATAGCATTTTTATTTATGAAAACCCCAAAACTATAAAAACCCAAGTGTCTAGAAACAGATGAATAAACAAATGGTATATAATATTCAGAAATGAAAAGGAAAAATTACTGATACACACAACAAGGATAAATCTCAAAAATGGTATGTTGAAAAAAGAAACCTGACCCAAAAAAGTCACAAACTGCACTGTATGATTCCATTCATATGAAGTTCAAGTACTGACAAAACTAATCTACAATTATAGATAAATTTACCTGGGGCAGGGTGATAGGGAGTTGACCATGACAGGCTTCAGAACATACTACTCTCAAAATATGACATCTTGGCATGTTGCATATTTTAAGCTGAAGGAATCTGAGAAACAGCAGGTGCAGAAAGGACTTCCCCTGAAGCAGATCATAGGATCCTCGTGTGAGAGGTGTCCTCTCTATACCCAGAAGATAGCAGCATCTTAATCTCAAAAGACAGAGTGGCTAGGTGCAGTGACTCATGCCTATAATCCCAGCACTTTGGGAGGCCGAGGAAGGAGGATTACTTGCACCCCAGAGTTTGAGGCCAGCTTGGGCAACACAGTAAGAGCCCATCTCTACAAAAAATTTAAAAACTCAGCCATGCATAGTGGCACATACCCGTAGTCCCCGCTGCTTAGGAGGCTGTGGCAGGAGGATCACTTGAGCCCAAGAGGATGAGGCCGCAGTGAGCTATGAGCCACTGCACTCCAGCCTGGGGAAAAGAGTGAGACCCTGTCTCAAAATTTAAAAATAGAAATAGAGGAACACCCAGAGGAATCTGAACAAACAGGCCTTGTTAAGTTTTTCCCAGTTTACTCCTCTTAGCTCATATCCCTTTCTGTCCTATCACATTCCACAACTCTTCCTTCTTCATCAAACCTAACTTAAAAACACTCAGGTTTTACTGTTTCTTCGGGTCTTCATTTCCTTATGAAGGCTCCCATGTCATATAAAACTTACATTAAACAAGTTTACATGTTTTTCTCTTGTTAATCTACCTTTTATTACAGGGGCCCCAACCGAAAACTTGGAAGGGTAGAAGCTATTTTCCCTCCCCTACACTGGGAAGGGGTTCAAGGAAGCTTTTTTGGCGTGACGGAAACATTCTGTGTCTTGAAGGGGGTACTGTTTACACAGATGTATATATTTATCAAAATTTATTGAACCAGGCCAGGCACAGTGGCTCACTGTGATCCCAGCACTTTAGGAGGTCAAGGTGGAAGGATCACTTGAAGCCAGGAGTTTGAGATCAGCCTGGGCAACAAAGTGAAACCTCATCTCTACAAAAACAAAAAAAATTAGCTGGTGTGGTGGCTTGTACCTATAATCCCAGCTACACTGGAGACTGAGGTGAGAGGATCGCTTGAGCCCAGGAGGTCAAGGTTGCAGTGAGCCATGATCATGCCACTGCACTCTGGCCCGGGTGACAAAGGGAGACCCCATCTCAACAAAAAATAAAAGAAAAATTCCTGAGCTGTACAAATGATCTCAGACTTTTACTAGTCATCTATAGCTCAAAAGAAATTACAGGTATGCTGCGGCTCACACCTGTAATCCCACACTTGGAGAGATTGAGGTGGGTGGATCACCTGAGGTCAGGAATTCAAGACCAGCCTGGCCAACACAGAGAAACCCTGTCTCTACTAAAAATACAAAAATTAGTCAGGCGTGGTGGCGCTCGCCTGTAATTCCAGCTACTCGGGAGGCTGAGGCAGGGGAACTGCTTGAATCTGGGCGGTGGAGGTTGCGGTGAGCCGAGATCATGCCACTACACTCCAGCCTAGGAAATAGAACCAGACTCTTTTTCCAAAAAAAAAAGAAAAAAGAAAAAGAAAAAAGAAACCACTCAAAGTGGCATTCTCTATGGATAATGTTTCCTTAATTCCAGTGATTTGATGAAAGTAACCTAAAATGTAACATAATTAAAAACTCAAAAGGCTAGCAAAACCCTTTACTATGTATGACCAAAATGAGACATTTTCAGTGATTTTTACTAGTGATACACACTTGTAATGAACCATCAAAGAAATATGAGTATTATACAATCAAAATTTTCTCACATCAACCTGGATATGGTGGCTGAATGAGATCTTTATCTTCTAATTCGAGATCATTGAGCAAAAAAGCATATTGAAAACCAATAAAGGATGCCATTGGCATTGATAAAAGGTCTAAGTATTCCATCCAAATGTTCACTGGATTCAATGGGAATACCAAAAGAAGTGCTGAATAGAACATCAAAGAAATACTTCTGATGCGCTCAGCATCTCAACTGTACAACTCATACAACTACCCAGCGAGAGGTAACTGTGAATAACAGAAGGGCAGTCATGACAGCACTGTACTCTCATATAGCAGCATACAGCCCAACAGGACTGACAGGAGCGGTCTGCTGGTCATCAACACATCAACCTCTCCAAATCAAAGAATGCAAACTAAAACAATAAGATGACATTTTATTTACTGCCAAATCTCAACTGACATTTATTGATTTTGACATTTATTGATTTATTAGAGAAAATAATAGTTTATACTCCAAATGTCATGAAAAAATAGGTGGAAATAAAAATTTGCACAATGTATACTGACACTGCTAAGTTGTCCTAAAAGAGTGTGTAATTTTTACTTCTGAGTGTCACTCTGAAAGAAATACTGGCAAAGGGGCACAAAGATGTGTGTGCAAGGGTATTTACTGCATTTTTAATAGCAAAACTCCTGGAAAAAGTAAATTATCAAAAGCAATTAGCCCGGGCACTGTGGCTCACGCCAGTAATCCCATCACTTTGGGAGGCCAAGGTAGGCGGATCACTTGAGGTCAGGAGCTGGAGAACAGCCTGACCAACATGGTGAAACCCCATCTACTAAAAACACAAAAATTTGCTGGGCGTGGTGGCAGGCACCTATGATCCACTTTGGAAGGCTGAGGTAGGAAGACTGCTTGAGGCCAATAGTATGAGACCAGCCTGGGCAACATAGGGAGACCCTGTCTCTATAAAAATTTTTTAAAATTAGCCCAACTGTGGTGGCATACACCTATCCCAGCTACTCTGGAAGCTGAGGTGGGAGCACTGCTTGAGCGTGGGAGGTCAAGGCTGCAATGAGCTAGGATCACAGCACTGCATTCCAGCCTCAGTGACAGAGAGAAACCTTGTCTCAAAATAAAAAGAAAATATATTTAAGTTAAGCACTATTTTAACCACTGGGGGTAGTGGCGCATGCCTGTAATCCCAGCTACTCGGGAGCCTGAGGCAGAAGAATTGCTTGAACTCGGGAGGCGGAGGTTGTGGTGAGCCAAGATCACGCCATTGCACTCCAGCCTGGGCAACAGAGCAAAATCTTGTCTCAGGAATAAAAAAGAAAAAAGAAACGCTGTCTCTACTAAAAATATAAACATTAGCCGGGTGTGGTGCCGGGCACCTGTAATCCCAGCTACTCAGGAGGGTGAAACAGGAGAATTGCTTGAACTCAGAAGATGGAGGTTGCAGTGAGCCGAGATCACACCACCGCACTCCAGCCTGGGTGACAGAGCGAGACTCCATCTCAAAAAAATAAATAAATAAAATAAAGTAAAATAGCAAAAGTAGAGTGACCATCAGTCCTCGTTTGCTCTTGACAGCCTCCAGTCGCACTTTACCCAGCATCATTATTAATAGTGCTGTATTTCAGTCTCTTCGCTCTCCAAAGTGTCTCGGTTTAGGCCTGGCGCAGCGGCTCATGCCTGTAATCCCAACGCTTCGGAAAGCCGAAGCGGACGGATCACTTGAGGTCAGGAGTTGGAGACCAGTCTGGCCAATATGATGAAACCGTGTCTCTACTAAAAATACAAAACTCTGCCAGGCGTGGTGGCACATGCCTGCAGTCCCGGCCACTTGGGAGGCTGAGGCAGAAGAATTGCTTGAATCCAGGAGACGGAGGTTTCAGTGAACTGAAATCATGCCACCGCACTCCAGCCTAGGTGACAGAAAGAGAGTCTGTCTCCAAAAAAATTAAAAAATAAAAGTGTCCTGGTTTGAGTAATACATAAGGCTACCCTAGGTTAGTGGTTCTCAAACTTTAGCATGCATCAGAATCACCTGTAGGGCTTGTTATACCAGAAATTGCAGAGTCCCACCCTCAGAGTTTCTGATTCAGTAGGTCTGAGGTAGGCCCTGAAAATCTGCATTTCTAGCAAGTTCTCTGGTGACCCTGTGATGCTCCTAGACCAGAGATCACAACTGAAGAACCACTGCATACAGGTGCAAAAGTGCATGACTTTCTGTGAAAACAATAACTAGCTTTAAAGGACCTAATATAAGGTCTCTAGAAGTAGCAGAAAGGGGAAAAAAGACCACTATTACTCCAAGTATAAACTGCAAACTGATGCTTGGCCCATAAAGGCACAGGTATCGAAATTGGGAATGAACATTCAGAAACTTTCCTGCAATATGGCAGAGTAAAATGTCTTACATTTAGTAATAAAAGACTTGGCGGCTGGGTGCGGTGGCTCACACCTGCAATGCCAGCAGTTTGGAAGGCCGAGGCGGGTGGATCACCTGAGGTCAGGAGTTCAAGACTAACATGGAGGCCGGGCGCGGTGGCTCAAGCCTGTAATCCCAGCACTT